GGTGTGCTTTCGGCGCCGGAGTGTGTGTGTGTGTGTGTGTATGTGTGTGCGGGGCGAGTATGTGTATGAGTGCAGTGTGTGTTTAATGTGTTGGTGTGAGAGATAAAGTGACAAGGTGATTGGGGTGGGGTCCACCAAAATTGTTATTTATTTTATGACTATTATACCCTTAATAATTGGTCAAATACATATATTTGACCACAATATGTTCAAATATTTACCATGATGCCATTATATGTTTGACTAAATTATTAAAATTTGACTTGATCATGACCACTAATTTGCTAAATCTAAAGGCCTACAGTCATTCTTATTTCTTTCACTATCCCTCTTTCTCATAGTCATTCTTATTTCTTTCACTATCCCTCTTTCTCATATGATCGCTTCTCTATATATCAATATATAATATTAATATACATTAAATATTATCATTATATAAAAAAAATATTACTTGTATAAATATTATAAATAATATTAACATTATACGACAATAAATTTTTAAATAAAATAATATTTGAGTATTATGATGAACTAAAATATGTAAAATTATTAATTTTTTGTATTAAAAAATAAATTTATATGTTAAAATATTATTTCTATTAATATAAACGGATCACGGGCTAATACATTGTCAAAATAAAGTTGTGCAAAAATCCTCCCTATATATAATTCCCGAATGCGCTGAGCCTACGTGGCTGCTTCTGGTGCTTCGGAATCCTATTTGGAAAAGAATCATGCTTCGTAATTTGGTTTGGATAAATAATATTGATATATTAATAATTAATAATATAGGTTCGGGTATTCCATAAATATTATTTAGCTAACTTAGGTATTTTAATATCATTTTTACTAATATAACCCTTTAATTCTTTGTAATTTTACATAGTAAGGCACTAAGTGACTAATATATCCCTGAATTTTGATTTGTTTCCTTCAATAAGCTATTGAATTATAAATGTATTTTAAAAGTTGATAATTTTTGTATTTCTTATCGGTTTTACATATATAATATATCAAATTAATCATCTTTTGATGATCTTCGATTTGACATCCATATTGTATATATGAAATAAATAAATTATATTTATCTTTATAATAATAAAAAATAATAATATTTATTAAAATTCATTAGAAAAATAAAATTATTTCTCAATTGATATATTTATATATAATGTAGTTATATATTATAAGTTAAAAAAATTAGTATAATATAGCATAAGTAAGTTGCACAAATAAAAAGTGTCATAATAAATATATAACAATATATATATTCTTGTAAAAGGTATTTAAATTTTCAAACTACTTTTTCTCATTAATTTTATATTTTAAGAAAAAAATTAGCAAGCACCCGTGTAATACACGGGTGTTGTACTATATATATTAATACAGAACGCGTTGAGCCTACATGACTGCTTCTGGTGCTTCGGAATCCTATGTGGCAAAATTACATGCTTCATTATTAGGCTTTGATAAATTTTAATTTAATTCCAAACCAAAAAATAATTAGGTTCGGATTACCATATATATGTTGATTATTTATGGTCATGTTACATGTATTAATTGTATTTTAATATCATTCATTATTATAACTATTAAATTGTATATATATTTTAAATGTTAATAATTTTTGTATTTTTTATCAGTTTTACATATGTAATATATCAAATTAATCTTCTTTTGATGAGTTTCGATTTAACATCCATATTGTATGTATAAAAAAAATTATATTTATCTTTATAAAAATAATAAAATTATTGTTAATATTAATTAAAAAATAAAATTATTTATCAAATAATATATTTATATTTCAAGTAATTATATGATATAAGTTATAAAAACTATTATAATATAACACATGTTAGTCATAAGTAACACATATCATTCTAAAATATATAGTAATATATATTTTATTTTTTTTAAAAGTAAACTAAATTTAATATAATTTTCTCATTAATTTTAAAATTTAAGAATAATTTTTTAACAAGCACTCGTGTAATACACGAGTGTTGTACTAGTATTTTAAGTTACGAAATCCCCACGGATTCTCACTAGTTCATAATACAGAAATTTGAGTTGAGTTAAATTTTAACAAAATTGGATTCTACTTTTTTGTCACACATTCTACAAAATTGTCTCACATCACCTCTCTCTCCCACACACGCACATTTTTTTTTTTTTT